TCCAAATTTACTTGGTTCAGTACCCCATTTCCCTTTAGTGATATTGTAAGGAAATAAAAAGGATGGAGAAGTAAATTTACAGATTAAAGTAGTTTTAAAGACCTGGTATATTTTTTAAATTGGTGTGATTAACAGTATCTAGGGATATATATTTAAATGGTGAAACAAAACAAAATTTTAAAAAAGCAAAGAAGTATGACTATAACAGTAACCACATAAAAAGCAACTTCTGATTCTGGGCAGATAAAGTGTCAGAGATTGGATGTATTATCCCACCTGAAACAGTTTAAAAAAACCCTCAAAACTCAACAAAATAATATATGAAACAATGATTTTCAGACATTAGATACCAGGCAGTTTAGGGCAGTGATCACTGAAATACGAGGAAATAAATAAGGTAAGCCCTATAACTGCCTCAGCTCTACTACCTGGAGAGAGTTCTAAGGTTACAGTGAAGGAAGGGGGAAGTCCTTAACAGGAGTCCCCCTGAGTGAAGGAGACAGAGCTGGGAATAAGGGAGACAAAGCAGAGTGCTAGAGAGGAGAGAGATACATAGAGAAAGCTTCAGAGGTGGCAGAACGTCTACCTGAGCATTCAGGCAAGTGAGGAAACTAATGTAGGACAGAGAAAAACACCACCTAAAAGGAGCAGAGGGGAAAATGCCTGGAGTTCATACCTAGCAGGAATAGTGCTGCCACTAGCCAGAGTAGAAAACCTTGGCATTGGGCAAAATGGTGTTCTGAGTGGTAGGGTACCATGGACAAAAGGTTGCTCGGGTATCACCTGATGATGCTAAAAACAAGCCTTGAAAGGAACAAACTGTTTCCAAGTAACTTAACTGTGACCCAGAATAAAGTTCAAGAACATTTGTAGGAATACAAAAGTATTCAGCATTCAATGAGGTAAAATTCACAATATCAGGGGTCTAATAAGGAGGACAAGAGGTTGGAAGAGGGAAGATACGTCATATAATGAGAAAAATGAATCAATACAAAAAGATGTAAATACAAATAATAAAATTAGTAGATAAGGACATTAAGCAGTTACATTACATATATTTAAACATGTAGGGGAAAGACTTCTCATGTTAAATGGAGGCATGGAAGGTATATTAAAAAAAAAAGACCCATGTCGAACTCCTAGAGATGTAAGGTAAAATGTTTGAGATGTACTAGATAAAGAATTTTCAAAATTCAGTAATAAGAGAACAAACAATTCAGTTAGAAAATAGGCAAAAGATCTGATCAGACCCTTAACCAAAGAATCTATACAAACAGCAAACAAGCACATGAAAAGATGTTTAACATCACTAGTCATTAGGGAAGTGCAAATTAAAACCACAATGAGATACCATTGCATACTACAGCAATGACTAAAATTAAAAGACCATCCATACCAAGTATTGGCAAGGATGTGGAGCAACTACAATTCTCATATGCTGCTGGCAGGAATGTAAATTTGTACAACTACTTTGAAAAATGGTTTTGGCAGGTTTTCAAAAAATTAAACATTTATCTACCATATGGCTCAGCCATTCCTCTCCTAAGTATTTACCCAGGGGAAAAGAAAGTATTTGTCTACACAAAGACTTGTATGTGGATGATCATGGCAGCTTTATCTGCAATAGCCCCAAAATGAAATTACCCAAATATCCACCAAACAGGTGAATAAACAAATTATGGTATATCCATTTGTCGAGAGTTTAGTTAAGTTACTTAATGGTACTGCTGTCTCAGCATCATCTTGTGTGGCCAAGTGGCCTTGGGGGCACAGAGGGGTTTAAACTGACACTAGCTCCATCATGCAAGCACATGCCCCAGAAAACAGCTTTCAGGGTCACCAGCAACTCCCCCAGTAGCCTTGTGATCAAGTCTCCCCTGCCTCCCAAGGCCTTTCCTGGTGGGCCTCTTAGATAACCCCCCCCCCAATGGAGCTTAACAAAACCTCATTCTTTTTGGTTTGAA